CAATACACCTTAACAATCTATTTGGAAATTAAATAAAAATGAAAATTGAATGGAGTTGGAAATTGAATAAAAATGGAAGTTGAATAAAAATTTAAATGGAAACTGCATAAAATTAAACATGGAAGTTCATTCAAGAAACCACTATACCTTAATGATGTATTTGGAAATTAAATAAAAAAGGAAATTGAATAGAAAAGGAAATTGAATAAAAACAGAAGTTGAATAAAAATAGAAATGGAAACTGTATTCAAAATTAAACGCTGGAAGTTCATTTAAGAAACCACTACACCTTATACGAATCTATTTTGATTAAAATAAAAAAGGAAATTGAATAGAAAAGGAAATTGAATAAAAAAGGAAGTGGAATAAAAATAAAAATGGAAGTTGCATAGAATTAAAAGTGGAAGTTCATTCAAGAAACCACTAAACCTTAACGATATATTTGGAAATGAAATAAAAAAAGGAAATTGAATGCAGATGGAAATTGAATAAAAATAGAAGTTGAATAAAATTAGAAATGGAAACTGCATAAAATTAAACACGGAAGTTCATTCAAGAAAGCAATATACTTTACCGATCTGTTTGGAAATGAAATAAAAAAGGAAATTGAATGGAGATGGGAATTGAATAAAAATAGAAGTTGAATAAAAATAGGAATGAAAACTGCAAAAAATTGAACGTGGAAGTTCTTTCAAGAAACCACTAAACCTTAACGATCTACTTTGAAATTAAATAAAAAAGGAAATTGATGAGAAAATGGAATTGAATAAAAATGGAAGTGGAATACAAATAAAAATGGAAGTTGCATAAAATTAAAAGTGGAAGTTCATTCAAGATACCACTATACCATAACGATCTATTTGGAAATTAAATAACAAAGGAAATTAAATAGAAAAGGAAATTGAATAAAAATAGAAGTGGAATAAAAATACAAATGGAAGTTGCATAAAATTAAAAATGGAAGTTGATTCAAGAAACCACTGTACCTTAACGATCTATTTGGAAATTAAATAAAAAAGGAAATTGAATAGAAAAGGAAATTGAATAAAAATGGAAGTCTTTGGAAATTAAATAAAAATGGAAATTGATTAGGGATGGAAATTGAATAAAAATAAAGGTTGAATAAAAATAGAAATAGAAACTGAATAAAATTAAACACCGAAATTCATTAAAAAAACAAGTATACCTTAACGATCCGTTTGGAAATGAAATAAAAAAAGGAAATTGAATGGAGATGGAAATTGAATTAAAATAGAAGTTGAATAAAAATAGAAATGGAAACTGCATAAAATTAAACATGGAAGTTCATTCAAGAAACCACTATACCTTAACGATCTATTTGGAAATTAAATAAAAAAGAAAACTGAATAGAAATGGAAATTGAATAAAAATAGAAGTTGAATAAAAATAGAAGTGGAAACTGCATAAAATTAAACGTGAAAGTTCATTCAATAAACCACTACACCTTAACGATCTCTTTGGAAATTAAATAAAAAAGCAAATTGAATGGAGATGGAAATTGAATAAAAATAGAAGTTGAATAAAAATAGAAACGGAAACATTATAAAATTAAACATGGAAGTTCATTCAAGAAACCACTATACCTTAACGATCTATTTGGAAATTAAATAAAAAACGAAATTGAATGGAGGTGGAAATTAAATAAAAATGGAAGTGGAATAAAACTAAAAATGGAAGTTGAATAAAATTAAAAATGAAAGATCATTCAAGATACCACTATACCATAACGATCTATTTGGAAATAAATAAAAAAGGAAATTGAACAGAAAAGGAAATTGAATAAAAATAGAAGTGGAATAAAAATACAAATGAAAGTTGCATAAAATTAAAAATGGAAATACATTCAAGAAACCACTGTACCTTAACGATCTATTTGGAAATTAAACAAATATGGAGACAGAATGGAGACGGATATTGAATAAAAATAGAAGTTGAATAAAAATAGAAATGGAAACTGCATAAAATTAAACATGGAAGTTCATTCAAGAAACCACTATAGCTTAACGATCTATTTGGAAATTAAATAGAAAAGGAAACTGAATAGAAAAAGAAATTGAATAAAAATAGAAGTTGAATAAAAATAGAAATGGAAACAGCCTAAAATTAAACATGGAAGTTCATTCAAGAAACCACTATACCTTAACGATCTATTTGGAAATTAAATAAAAAAGGAAATTGAGGAGAAAAGGAAATTGAATAAAAGTAGAAGTGGAATATAAATAAAAATAGAAGTTGCATAAAATTAAAAATGGAAGTTCATTCAAGATACCACTATACCATAACGATCTATTTGAAAATTAAATAAAAAGGAAATTAAATAGAAAAGGAAATTGAATAAAAATTGAAGTAGAATAAAAATACAAATGGAAGTTGCATAAAATTAAAAATGGAAGTTCAATCAAGAAACCACTGTACCTTAACGATCTATTTCGAAATTAAATAAACAAGGAAACTGAATAGAAAAGGGAATTGAATAAAAATAGAAGTTGAATAAAAATAGAAATGGAAACTGCATAAAATTAAACGTGGAAGTTCATTGAAGAAGCCACTACACCTTAACGATCTCTTTGGAAATTAAATAAAAATGCAAATTGAATGGAGTAATGACCATTAACTAAGAAAATGGTTATACCAAAATAATGACCATTAACCAAGTTCATGAATTCTATTTAACCTCCATTTATGACCAAGAGGTTACCAAAGTAATGAAACCCCATAAATAAATATAAGATATTAAGGATTGGTCACTCTAATGGACCACTAATAAGGATAGTAACTGAACTACTAATAAGGATATTAAATGAACCATTATGAAAATTTAATGGACACTAACCCTTGGTTTCCAAACACAACCAACCTGTTTTAAACCTACCCAACACGACCCAAGACTCATATACAAAGGGTAAAGGATGGAAACGGGAAAAAGACAACAACACATCCACGGAACCGATTCTGAAATACAATTAAACAATGAAAGGAAAACCGGGATCGCTATAACGGTCATAAATGGAGGTTAAATAGAATTCATGAACTTGGTTAATGGTCATTATTTTGGTGTAACCATTTTCTTAGTTGTGGTCATTATTTTGGTGTAACCATTTTCTTAGTTAATGGTCATTATTTTGGTGTAACCAGTTTCTTGTTTAATGGTCATTATTTTTTGTGTAACTGTAAGGTCCTAATGGCTTGTTATATATCAGTAGGCAGCAGGGGGTTAAACATCATTTTTTTTCACCATATTTTCTTTTGAAACCCTAGAGCTGACTCTCTCTCTCTCTAAACTTGTCTGCTATCTAAGAATTGATCTACCTAGGGTGAGTATCTAACCTTAGTCCTTTATTAAAAAGTTAGAGTAGGTTGAGGGCTTCGTTTTAATCTAAGAAACTTAGGATTTGGAGCACGTTGGTCTTTGGTCATCATCTCCATTTGAGTTCTTCACTTCGAGGTAGGGATTTCCTACTCCATATTATAGGTTTTGTCCTAAGTTTTGGTATTTTGATATGTTGGGGATACTTTGGTAATTTTGGGAAAAACCCTAGTTGTATTAATAAATTAATTTGTATAATTAGTTTAAGGGAATTTGGTTAAATTCATGAAATTGAGGAATTCATTGATTAAATGGTGTAGTGGGATAATTTAAACCACTCGCCTATTGAATTGTTGTTATATTTATTTCCAGTCTAGAAATAACTGTTTTGGGCTATCGGTGGAGGATAGTCGTGATTGTTGTAGACATTGCATGTGGATTAGGAATAACTGAAACTAATCACATTGGTTAAGTCATAAATTTTGACTATTGCATTAATACAGAAAATACATGTATTGATTGAGCATTGCATTTGCATACATTGTTTTGTGTGGGAGGAGATAGGGGATGTACTCCACGGTTTAGGGGAAGATAGGGGATGGACCTCTAAACCAGATTTTTGTTTGGGAGGAGATAGGGGATGGACTCCATTAGCACCACTATATGTGTGCTTATTGATTTATGGAAGTGTTTTTGCATGTTGTTGATGCAGCACTAAAATGTGTATCAATCGGGAAGTATGGAAGTGTTTTGGTATGAGCCTTAGTCTCATTTGTTTTGTTGATATTGGAAGAAATGTTAATGTGATATTTAGTTCACTGTTATAGTTTGGCCAGGTTCTGAGCCATATTGATATAAATGGAAAGTTGAACAAATAATGGAAAATGAAATGTGTCATCGACATTAATGTCATGAAACTGTATGTTGGGAAAGTGAATAGTTGTGTTAACCATCTATTGAATACTATTGCTTTATTCAATGCTTATATTTGGTTTAGTATGTTTCTACTGGGCTGTGGCTCACCCTATACGGGAACATCATTTTCAGGTTCAGGTGATATGCTACCTCCAAGGACTTAGCTTGGAAGGAGTTGGAGTTGAAGACTCTGTTTAGTTTAGTTGTTATTTATTTAATTTGATATTACATGTAAACAATCAAGCCAAGGGCTTAATTCGTAGTTGAGTTAGTACTCACATTTTGTGTCCAAGTGTTGGCTTGGGAAGATGTAAGCTGTAGGGCATTTACTTTTGATGTTACATGTAATGCTTTTCAATAAGAATACTCTGATGAATAGTATAATGGTTGGTTTTCTTTTATTAATGCATGTCAATGTTATATATTATGGGTTTATTTTAAAGGCGTTACAGTGTTGCTAAGTACACTGCCCATTGGGCATTGGTTAAGAAGACAAAACAAAATTGCTCAGGAAAAACTGAATGAAGTAGAAGTTGATTTATTTATTTATTTATTTTTGTTAACTCTTGCCTTTCCTTTCATTCAAGTTTCACTAGATTTGTCACACATCCCTTCTATAATCTACCTAAGCTTGGTCCTTGCACTCATTACCAATTGATTTTGAGTTTATAAATTCTCACTACCAATCTTGGTTTCACTCTCCCATTCCCACAGTAACTTGTGAGCTCTGCACGAAGACCTCAATTGAAACAGAAAATCAGAAGTTTATGTAATCAAAGATCAAATACTCACCACCTGATCGGTTGTCAGTCCTCCTGATGGCCGAAGGAGCTTCTGCTGGGGCTGGGGCTGGGGCTGGAGCTTCTGCTGCGACTGTAGCATCGTGATAGACCCTGTTCAACTCATACGTTCCAATACAGCTTGGTGTAACCCCTTGTACCCAACTTCCACGAGCGCAGCTAGGAATAGCAGCAACAGCGTCAGACAGGCAATTTCGGCAATCCATCGTTGACAAATCTGATGTACACTTCACCATCCCATTCAACGAACGACTGCTAAAATTTACATTAGTGGTTGCATTCATGGGTCTAAAGGGATTTGAAGTTGGAGCAATACTCAATTGGTCAAACATACTTCCCAAAGCCTCATTGAATTTATCTGGCTCTCTAGCAGGTTGTTCCTCCAACACACAAACTACTTGGCTGGTCTCATTGGCAGAGAAAAAAGGTCTTTTGGAGTAAAAAATCAAACACGGTTCATACCATATGACTGCCTCTTTACATTGTTTTAGATTCTCATTGAGTGCAGAGTCCACGCAACTCTGGCACATTTTGGGTGTCACACCAACTTTGCATAGGAACAGACCGTAGACTTTGTCCGGGTCATCAGCTTCGATGGCATTGGAGAAGATTGAATCGCCGCTGTTATTGTAAGGTGACCCGAAGAGGAGGACTTTGAAACTTCTTTTAAATTGGCTTCTGACGGTGTAATTGGTAGTGTTTGTTAAGCAGATCGTATTTGGGTAGGTAACTTGTGGCATAACAAGGAGGATAGAAAAAAACAGGGGAAACAGAGTTGCTGGGGTGGAGAAAACAGCCATAGGCATCATGATTTGTTTTCCTTCCAAACTCTACAAGAAACAGAAAAGTGCCAAAACACTGTGGGCTGGAAGTAAAAATGGGTCATAGGCACACACAGATTCCCTTTTGAACACCCAGCACACCAACTTTGACTAGTCCAACTTATAGATCATGTCTTAATAGAATTATAAATGGATACATGGAAATGCGAAGCTACAACTTTTGAGTTACGGTTACGGAAGAAGTCCTCTTCCCTAGACCTTTTCGTCACCGAGGTGGAAAATGTGAAAAACATAGACAAATTATCGGTATTACATGTGTATTTATCTATATTAAATTTTTTATTATTTTATAAATATACAAAAATTCATCATAAAATTAAATATAATTTTCTCACATTGGATCAGACTTACTATATGTGTGGCTTAAGTAATCATATTAGGTACACGTGAAATATATATATATATATATAAAAAATAAACAACTCACTTGGTGTCCTTTTCTTATTTTGTCAATGTCCATTTTTCTATTTTCTTTTCTCATTTTGTCTAGTGTAAACTTCTTTTCTCATTCAATAAATATAGAGAGCTTCCCTAATTTATCCAAAAATTTACCAACTGCCCACATGGCAGCCTACCTTAATATGGAGGTTGTTTTTATTTAAAAGGAATATATATACAATAACATAAGATTAACATAATTCAATTAATCAAGTTACTATCAATCTATATTACTCATATAAAGAGAGTGCAAATTCATATTAATCTAAATAAGTAACTATTAATAAAACTCACGTACATAGCGCACACACACAAAAAAAAAAAAAAAAAAAAAAAAAAAAAAAAAAAAAAAAAAAGGGGAAGCCTCACATATATAAGTGATTATCAATTAATTAAGTTAAGCCTCACATAAACAATTTACAAAAAAAAATAAATTTTAAATATCAACTTTTTTTCTTTCCTTTTGATTAAAAAAAATCAATGAACCTGTATCAAGATTTGTGGTTCAATTTGTTTGTTTGAGTTTTCAAAAAATAAATCCTTAAAAATTTCAAAAATTAGTTTGGTAAAAGAAAAATAATAATAAAAATAACTCATTATTTTTATATGATTTTCCCTTTTTTGGTAAATAATAATTTAAAAATTTTTTAAATGTGTTTTTTAGGTGCCGTTTGATAACACTTACGTTTTCAGTTTTCTGTTTATATTTACAAAAATTTTAAAAACTCAAATAAAAACTTGTTTGGTAAAATTTTTGATTTATAAATTAGTGGTCTCAATTTATAAATTTGGCCAAAAAATAAAAACACAAAAAATGTGTTTCCATTTTGAGTTTTCAGTTTTTTTTTTTTGTTGGTGCTGTGACGCCTGTGTGTTTCGGTGGCATATGCAGCACTTCAGACCTCGACAATGTCAGTTGGTTTGCAGGTATGTCATGCTTTTTGTGCGATGTTGATTTATGCGTTTTGTTGATTTGTTTTGTGGACTAGATTGCACCAGTACGTTGACGTCATGTTACATAACGTGTTGGGCATGTGTATGAATTGGTGTTAGTGGAGTATGGTCAATGTGGGTGTTTGTGGTGATGCATTAGCCGGAGGGGAGATAGGTTAGTGGGTTTCGTTTGTGTGGTGGTTTGTCTTTGTGTGGATGTGTTTACAATGTTTGTATATTCACTGGGATGTGGGTTGTGGGGACTGGGATGGTGCTGATTTCGTATGGGTGTTTCCTGTATGTGTATCTAAATTTGTGTTTCTTGCAGTGGCACTATTATCAATCTCTGGGGTGAGGTTGTGTGACTTTTGTCTGCTTATTGAATTTTCATATTCTGAATGCGTGTGCTTGTGTTCTGTTACAGCCGATGGATACACATGTAATGTTGATATGTTGTTACGATAATACAAATGACGTTGTCAATTTGGAAGTCCCATTCCGATTTCAGGACTTGGTGAATCGTGTTTGCGAAAAATTCTCCGGACTCACACATGCCAATCTGTGTTATTTCTTCAAAATGCCAGGTTACAATAACTTCACATTACAGAATGATGTCGATATGCAGAACATGATATCTCTTGCTCGATCTTTTCGGGTGCAATGCATTGATGTTATCATTGAGGTACCACGTGCGGGATATTCAGAAAATGTTCACTATCCCAAAAATAATGTACACATTGGTCCATGTCTGTCGGATGTGTTGTCTGACGAGTCGGATATGGATGACGAACAAGATTGTTTGGACAAATATTGTCCCCACGTCGATAAGGTTTTTTTGTCTGCTCCATGGGCGAATGGAATTCGAAATGTTGGTCAAAGTTTTGAAGGGGGAGCTGCTGAATTTCGAACGGTTCTTCGCAAGTATGCGGTGGAGTGCGGATTTCGCTTCAAATATATTAAGAATGATTTTGTTCGGATTACAGCAATATGCATGATGCGCGAATCGAAGGGATGTATGTGGTCCGTACACGCACGTGTTTTACATGCCAATGGTTTTTTTTACATACGTAAGTGGAATGGCTTGCACACCTGTGGTGTTTCCGTTCGGACACCCAAGAACCCAAGGGCTGGTTCTGACTTAGTGTCTGATGTCATTTCTGAACGGGTGCGTGACAAACCCCTCACACGTCCCACTGATGTTGTGTACGACTTGAAAAAAGATTACGGTTTGGAGGTTAGCTATCGGGTTGCCTGGTTAGGTGTCGAAAAAGCCCATGGTGAAATGTTCGGTGCACACTCAATCTCGTTTGACCAATTACGTTGGTACAGCGATGCAGTTATGACTAACAACCCAAGCAGTTATATCAACATTGAGTACGACGAACAACACAACCGTTTCTCAAGGTATTTCATATCATTCAAAGCATGTATTGATGGTTTCACCCATTGCCGACCAATGCTTTTTTTGGATGGGACATTTCTAAAGGGGAAATTTAAGGGGAATTTGCTAGCCGCCACAGCGAAAGATGGCAACCAAGGTATGACGTTTTTGTGTGACCATGCCCAATATGTTTTGCCACATTCGATCATGTCTCTTTACATTAATGTACACATTATTCTATAAGAAAATACTCGACTGACCTTTTGACAAATTAATTTCATGCAGGTCTATTCCCTTTAGCCATAGCCATTGTTGATTCGGAGAACACTACAAATTGGGCTTGGTTTTTGGGACACCTCGCAAACGTTGTAAACGGCCAAAGAGAACTAACATTTTTGTCCGACCGACACGCAGGCCTGCTGGAATCAATCCCAGCCATATTTCCCACAGCACATCACGCATTTTGCTTAAAACATTTGCAACGTAACTTGCAAGACAAAATACGCTACGTCAACAGTTCATACCGCGCGTGTTTGTTGTCAAAATTCCGATCTTGTGCGTATGCACCAACAGTTGTTGCATTCAACGAGAAATTGGAGGAGTTCATGAAGGCTAGTCCCAAGGTCGCACCAGCTTTCTTAAAAGATTTACCGCCACAGTACTGGGCAAATGCGCATTTCCGGTACGCAGTTACCACTTATAATTTTACCAAATTTATATTGTGTCATGCTCACAATGCCACCTTGTAGATTTCTGTCCAACAAAGTCACTAACAAAGTCACTGTATCTATTCCACCAGCGGTTCGCGTTATGGCGAAATGAGTTCTAATGCCGTCGAGTCATTTAACTCATGGATACGGGAAGCACGCCACCTCCCAATCACTCAATTGGTTGACAGTATTCGGACGAAGATTATGCGACAGATGTCCAAATGCCGACTCAAGGCGCAATCGTGGCCTGGTGTAGTTTGCCCGAAGATGGAAGATCGGTTAGTTAAAGCATACAACAAAGGCAGATCATGGCTTCTAAGTCAGTCCAACAATGAGATTTTCGAGGTCCACTCTTTTCCATCAGTAATGGTTGATGTGGGAAGGCGTACATGCTCATGTTTCCAATGGCAAATCAAAGGGTTCCCTTGTGCTCACGCTGTTGTTGCTATTCGCAACAGCGGACTCGACCTTTATGATTTAGTCGATCCGTATTACCATGTGTCGGAGTACCGAAATTCTTACGCTTGCAACATACACCCCATACCCACGGCTGAGAAACCACCATTTAGCATTGAAGATTACATCATACAACCACCAGCTGTCAAACGACCACCGGGAAGGCCCAAAAAAAAACGAATGCTTTCAAGGGGGGAAGAAGTTCAACAGATTAGATGCAGCCGTTGCCAACGTTTGGGGAACCACAACAGAAAGACGTGCAAAGAACCAATTTAGCATTACATGCAGCGACATATATTTCCAAATACAACATTTTTATAGTCTTTATGTTTTTAATGAGAATAATCGGGTTTGCCACACACTATGGCCTGTAACACTTGATGTTTTCAGAATGTTTTCAGCTTTTGACCAACATTTTCTGTTGTTTTTTTAAGATACCTAACATGCAACGCATAAACCTTATTATTATCCTGTTATTACGTTTCACAAGTTGTTGGCTAATTGATTCGCAACATTATAATGCTACATCCACATTACAAAACCACATTAACACAATCGGCCCACCTAACATCGACAAATAAACGCGCACCCAATAAAACCGACCTGCCAAATAATACCCTGTCCTTTTCATATTATACCATCATAGATACAAGATCACAACATACATGACTTACGCCACCTCAAAGCAGTCACACATGAACTTAATAAAACCGACCTGCCAAATAATACCCTGTCCTTTTCATATTATATCCATTGGCTATATTTTCAGAATGTTTTCAGCTTCGACAACATTTTCTGTTGTTTTTTTGAGATACGTTACATGCAACGCACGAACCTTAATATTATCCTGTTATTACGTTGTACAATTTGACGGGTAATTGATTCGCAACATTATAATGTTACATTCACATTTCAAAACCACATTACACCAATCAATCCACCTGACATCGACAAATAAACGCACACTCAATAAATCCGACCTGCCCAATAATACCCTGTCCTTTTCATATTGTACCGTCATAGATACAATATCACAACAT